ATGTGTAAAATATGTAGAATTAATAAGAAAAACCAATTACATTTAAATACACTTACCAAAGTTTTGTCCCATCCAAGTTCATGGACCAAGTGGTCCATGGATCCCAGGTTAAGAAATTTTGTGTTATATACCCCATAGTTGTTGAATAAGACAAGCTTGTGTTCAAACTTCTCTCTTAGGTCAGGCATACTCTCCGATTCAAGTACTTGGTTTTATCAGAAGGTCCTCCATAGCAACCTATTGAAACTAAGGGATATTAAGTAAAAAAGTAAAAAGTACCAGATTATGAGTTCTGCAATCCCTACCCTGAAAAGCAAGCAATTATCAAACAACAACATGAGCTTTGTGTCCTTCAGAATAAATTTAGTGGACCAACCAGTATCCTGAGAATCATTTTACCTTGCTAAAAGACATCATCTGCTATGAGGAAGCTGGGCTTCCCATGCTTTCTAAAGTTACAGCACACTCCAGATCAGGACTATCTCTGTAGCCCTTAGGGATATCCGTATATTTACAATCTCTTAACCATTTGGTCTTCCAATTTCAAAAAAATAGTAATAGGAACTAGACTGCTACTAAGAATCCAAATCTGGCCCTATATTCTAATAGCTCTTCTCTGCTTGATTTTGCTCAATTTCAGTATAAACAATCAGTACCTTGTGTGTGCAAAGCACTGAGAATACAGAGAATAAAAATTGCATGATGTGCCTTCAAGGAGGTTATATTTGAGAAACATACAGTGTAATGAACAAAATGCAGAATAGCTGATATTTACATTTGTATCATAACCTATGAAGTAGATATTTAAGTATTTTATAAATGAGGAAATTGAGGAACGGATTATGTGCTTTGCCCATGTTCACATAGCTAGTCTCAGTGGAAGGTTCATGGAATATCATTTCCTATATATAGCAACAAACCTAGTTAAGTTTGAAACAAAAGTTTTCTTAGACTGAACCTCAAGATCTGGCTCTTGCTCTTTTGTGTTTTTACTTGTCCCATATGTGTATACACATTTGCACATAAAAAATATGTGCTTCATTATTTTAGGGATCTATTATTTCATCAGTTTGAGTGCATCCTCCATCAATTAAGCTACAAACCCTAGTACAACTTAGTAGATGTTCTTCAAGCGTTACTATGGTTGAAAAATTCATCATTTTGTGGCCAACCCAACGTTAAGCTTCTCTGACCTTAGCTAGGCTTTTCCTTCAGTAACAGTCTCTTGCTGGGTCCAGATACTCTAAGCCTTTCCCAGCTTAGTAGAAGATGACAGAGCTATGCTCTACTGACATGATCTTTTAGAAACTGGCACCACTTAGACACACAGAAAGCATCTGGTTTAAATAAGGGAAATGCAGAGAATTATCATTTATTAAGATTCTGCTATCTGCAAGACAGCTCGGTGGCATAGAAAGCCAGGCCTAGAGTCAAAAAGACCTGGATTCAAACACTAGCTGTGTGACCCTGGGCAAATCACTTAACCCTGTTTGCCTCAGTTTCCTCATCTGTAAAATGAGCTGGAGAAGGAAGTGGTAAACCACTCTATTATCTTTGCCAAGAAAACTCCAAATGGGATCAGAAAGTGTAGGACAACCGAACCACAACAGTGTGCCAGGCACTGTACTAAGCACTTTACAAATACCTCATTTAATATTGTAGTTATAAATATATGTACATGAATAAATGGGTGAAAACAGTCTAAAGATTTCTATAATTTTTTTCAGTATGGCTACTTTCTCCACCAGTGCAGACTATAGGACCACCATACCTTGGTGGATGGTCATCTAGATTTTCTTTGGCCAGAAACATTATTGGTGGTCATGGTGATACTGAGTCTCTTTAAACTTAGCTAGTTTGGTCCCTGACTAACAAACATACAGACCCATCACCAGCCCAATTCTTAAAGCCTTTTCAGGTTGGTAGAACCTGCCAAGGCTTGTGCTGTCAAAGGTATAGCTTTAAAGCACCTTGGGTCACCTGCATATCAAGGGGAAGCATCAGAGGATGCTTATGGACACTTCCTGTATCTTTTAAGCATCAGTCCCAAATCCAAATTATGTGGACTTGCTATTATCATGGAATGTTTTTGCTTTACAGTTGTATGCCAGACCTAGCTTTCTCAAGTTAATGTATTTAGATGCCTTCCCTAAATAAGCCCTTACTTATGTAGTGCTTTAGATTTTATAAAGCACATTTCTCATAACACTGATATAGATTAGCTTGATATCTCCATTTTATAGGCTAGGAAACAAGCTCAAAGAACTCGACTCGTGAACTGTCACTTCCCATATATACCAACAAGCAAAACTAGCTAATTGTTCAAAATCACCCGTAATAAATAGTTAAGCCAGATATAAATAGAGCCAGAATGTAAACCCTGGGAATCTGACCTCAAGTCCAGTACTTTTCTCTATACGATCTATGCTACCTAGCTAAAAAAGAATAGGGAAGGTTGTGTGGGTGTGGTGGAGACTTGGCCTTGGAACCAAGAGGACCTGAGTTCAAATGTTTTCTCTGACACACATTAGTGCTCTAACCTTTCAGTGTTCTAAGTAACTCTACAAGAATAGTATAGACGTGGGGGTAGCTAGGTGGCACAGGGGGTCAAGCATGGGCTCTGGAGTCAGGAGGATCGGAGTTCAAATCTGGCCTCAGACACGTAACACTTTCTAACTGTGTGACTCTGGGCGAGTCACTTAACCCAGTATAGACCTAAATTGCTACAGGGAGTTTCCTCATCTAAGGAATTCCCTATACTAGTGAAATCACAGGCCTACTCCATCCCTATCACTATGAATTTCATATTTACAGGACTTGGTAGCTACTGAATTAAATCAGGGACTGCTAGTTATCTCTAAGACAAGCTTAAAAATTATGACTTCCCTACACATGATGAAACTTTATAAAATTTTAATTTTTCTGCTTTTTCCTTTCACTGGAAACATAAACTTACATAGGGTGTTAGCTTAAAAAAATTTCTTAACCTTTTTTGTGGCATGGACACCATTGTCAGTCTGTTGACACTTGTGGACCCTTTTCTCAGAATCATGTTTTTGAATGTGTGAAATAACGTGTGGGATTACAAAGGAAACTAATTATATTGAAATAGTTATCAAAAATACATTTAAAAAAACAAATGTAGGCATGGAGTTTAAGAACCTTTAGCTTAGAGAGCTGATAATGTTGTGGCATAAAAATTCACTAATTCACAGTAATGGTAGTGACTGGAGGGACCAGGAAGACTTAGTGAGAAGAGTCTGAGTTATAAACTAATTTTAAAAATTCTGTTATTATTTTCAAATGTAGTAGACATGAATAAAGATGTGGGTGTAAGTAAATAAAGTAAGTTGCTAATTAAACACTGTAAATGCTATATCATAAGCGTATGCAAAGGATTTGTGATTTTGTAAGTGTAAAGAGATCCTGAAGTGGGAGTTTCTTACACTGATGTAAATGCAACGCGACTGATAGGTTGATGAAGTCTTGAGTTGCCTAAGATGCATAAAGAGGTTAGGCAGCGTGCCTTCAGCAGCATCTGTTATCAGTCTGTATTTGAACTCAGGTCTTCCCCATTTCAGACCCATAGTCCTCTGTTCACTAAATCCTGCTGCCTGATAAGCATAGGAGCCTTTTTCCCCCATAAAGAGTTACTAAACCTAGAAGTGAAGAATTGTAGAAGGAATCCCTAATTTCTTCAGGCTGTGGTTTGAAAAATCATTTCTTTTAGATTGGATTTTCCCAGTTTTGAGGGTAAGATTGAAAACCGTTGGAGAAATGAGTTTCCCAAATATTTACTTTTAAATCACATACAACAATGTTATTACAAATTCTGAATTGCTGTATTTCAAACTGATGAGAGTTTGCTACATATAATTTTCAACCAATAAAATGAAAATTAATTTACTTAAATGAATGGTTTTAATTGGGTGGATAATACTAAAATACCTAGAAAAAGTTCCCTCAAGACAATGAAAACACTAACCATGTGTGAATGTCAAGATCAGACTTTTCTTTTTTTAAGGCACCTACACAACTTGAAAATTTTGCTCCTCCTACCTCATTTCAGTTAAAGCCCAGTAAAAGCATCAAGACTAATCTGATAAAAGCAAAGTGCGCTTTACACAGCAGAAGGATACAGGTGATATTGAATTAAGTACTATACATTCAACCAGGAGTAAAGTATCTTCATTTATTCATGGAGCTACTATTTGAAGACTAATTTGTGGATATGTGTCATCCAAACTTCTTTGTGAATTTTAATAATAGTGCATTCATCTAAGAGTTCCTATGGCTATTCCATTATGTTCCTTTTTTTTTTTTTTTTTTTTTTTTGAAGCAATTGGGGTTAAATGACTTGCCCAGAATCACGCACCTAGTGAGTGTTATGTATCTGAGGCCAAATTTGAACTCAGGTCCTCCTGATTCCAAGGCCAGTCTTCTATCCACTGCACCACCTAGCTGCCCCCAATAATTTCCTTTCTAATGTATAACTTGAAATATAAAAAACTACTTTTTAGAACCAATAAGGAAACATGGGAACATTATGAGAAATTCATCAGTCCCAATAGGAGCCTTAGGATTTTTATCAAGTGAAATGTTCCTATTTCGCAATTTGGGCAGCTATAATATGAAAGATTATGTATATCCTTGTCATGTGGATTAAAAATCAAATTTCTGAGCAATCTTAGAACAGAGTTATCTACTTTTTGTTCTTTTATGGCTAAATGACATGCATATATTCATCTCTATGCATACAGATATGTATACATATATGTGTGTGTCTTCATATATATATACTATTAGAAAATTAGACTTTCTTATTTTCCATAGTCAAACACTGATCATTATCTTTTTCTTGAGTCTCTATTGGAGGATCATTACAGAAAGCCAACGTGTTTTAATTAACCTAGCCCTCAAAAGATTTGATTGTCATGCTTTCATATATGCAGACTCGCTGTTCTCATATTCCAACATAGAAAACATGCTTTATCTTTCAGTAACTATGGGAAGTTTGAACATAAGCCTGGCTGCTGAAAGGTGATCCCTGTTTCCTCCAGGATCGTATGTAAAGTCCTCTGTCGGCATCAAAGGCTCTTCACATCGTGACCCCTTTCTCCTATTCTTATCTCTTCATATTGCACTCCACTACGTGCACCATCCTGCTATTCTGCTTGCCATTCCCTACACACTCAAGGGTGTATGGGGTGTTCAGGGAAGACCAGTACCTCTGGGGTGAGGACTTGCCAAGCCCTTTCCAGGGCTGCTCATCCACCTTTGGTGTCCACCGAAGTGGACCCAACTCACCTGTGACTCCAAGAAGCTATAGCATGCATAGCCCCCACACTCTGGTAAAACCATCTGAGCAGATGAGCTAACCCAGGTTTAGAGTCACCAGCAGGCCTCAAACCTATCAGTGAGTTAGGGTAATGTCTGCCCTACGTACGTGAAGATTTCCCAGAATGGTCTAATGAGAAGAGTTTGTTCCAATGGCCTTGAAAGTGGCTAAGGCAGGTGCTGTGAATCACCGAGAGCTTAGTCAGACATGAAGACGCCAAGATCATCCGCTGCAGGCCATCGCCAGCCATCTTGACTTTTGTCTTGCTGTTGGACTTCACTGACTCTGGAGGATCCAGAGAGCAAGGGTGATGACTTCTGCAGCTCTGCCTCACTTCAATCCAGTTCACGAGCAAGTCGTCACCCTGTGATCCTCTTCAAAATAAGGGACGGACGATGTTCCTGATAGATGACATCCTTGTTTCCGTTATCTTTGTCCTGCTTATCCTCTGTGACTGTAATGCGGTCCATCCACCCCTCCTGTTGGCATCCCTGGCTTTCATCAAGACTCAGCTCACATGCCGCCTTTTGCAGTCTTTTTCCCATTTCTTCATCCACTTGAGCCTTTTCCTTTAAAGTTACCTTTCTCCTACTCTGGAAGTGCCTATCTGTTTACCTGTTGTCTTCCTCATTAGTGAGTAAACTCCTTGGGGGAAGGGACTGTTTTGTCTTTCTTTGTATCCCAAGCTTAGCACAGTTCCTGGCACTGGGTTCTAGTTCTGCCTCTGACAGGACTGCCTATGAAACTTTGGACAAATCATTTAATTTCCTAGTGCCTCAGGCAACTAATACCATACATCATAAATGAGTTGCCATTCTGCATAGTAGGAAGGAGTGATGTACACCAATAGGTGTAGGTCTAGGCAAAAAAAAAAAATATTGTATTCTGCTTTATATTTTATGAAATGCTTCTTTCACTTGACAACAGTTGTGTAAGATGGGCAGGGCAACTATTGTTACAGATAAACTGGTTCAGGGAATTTATGAGACTGGTCCAAAATCACAAGCTGCTAAGTAAGAGAAATGGGACTAGATTCCAAGGCTTCTTATTCTGTCCAATATGCATTCCATTGTGGAGCAGACAAATAGAATATTACGTAGTCCCTTTACTCAGAGAGCTAGTTGGAAATCAATCTGGCAACAGTTAATATGTGGGATTAATTTTTTGGCACAAATATAAGTGCTATGAGAATCAGTTATCAGGAAAGCTTCTGCAAAAGATTAAGACATTCTGGGTTTTGGTGAATGAGTAGAATTTGGAGAAGTATAGGAGAAGGGAGAGGATGTTTCAGGTAAAGGCATTGCTGTTCAGTTGTGTCCAGCACTTGTGACCTCATATGACATTTTCTTGGCAAAGATACTGGAGTGGTTGGCCATTTGCTTCTCCAGTGGATTAAGGCAAACAGAGGTTAAGTGACTTGCCCAGGGTCATATAGCTAGTGAGTGTCTGAGTCCGGATTTGAAATCAGGTCTTCCTGACTCCAGGCATAGAAGTCCACTGGGCCACCTATCTACCTGATTAACCACAAGTAAATCAAAGGAGTTGAATGTAGCATATAACATTTACCTCTCATTTCTCCATGAGCCTGATTAGAATAGAGGACGTGTATGTGTGTGTGTGTGTACATACACATATTTTAGAATAGGCCTAGATAAACAGCACCATCAAAAACAATGTTAATCTAAGGTACTAAATATACTTCTATAATTCAATGAATTTTATAGAGTTAATTTTACTGATTGTGAGTTTTATTCGGTTCAGTTGAGCAGTGTCTTGTAGACATGGAGACACTTCAGGATGTATGGGATTTATAAAAAAAATAATACTAGGCACAAATACAGGTGCAACGAATCCTAGATTAAAAGGCAGAAGTAAGCTAGCATTTATTAGGTACCTATGTTCAGGTGCTGCACAAAGTACTAGTGATACAAAGAAAGGCAAATGCTGTGCTGTCTAGAAGCTCACAATCTAATGGGGTATACAACACAAACAACTATGTGCGAATAATATGTACAGGATAAATTGGGGTAATCTCAGAGAAAAAGCACAAAGATTAAGCAGCAGTGGGAAAAGCTTGCAGAAGGTGGGATTTATTGAGACTTCAAGGAAACCAGGGGAGCTAGGAGGAGATGAGGAAGAAGAGCGTTCCAGGCATGGGAGACAGCCAGTGAAAACAGTCAGCAGTATCACGCAGAAAGAAAAGCTAGGAGGCCAATGTCCCTAGGTCCCAGAGTACAAAGGGATGGTTAAGGTGCAAGAAGACCAGAAAAGCAAGAACAGACCAGGCTATAAAGAGCTTTATAAGCAAAACATGATTTTATATTCACCCTTGGAGTTAATAGGGAGTCCCTGGCATTTGTAGAATGGGGGTGGTAGGAGCGGTGATATGCTCAGACCTTCACTAAGAAGTTCAGTTTGACAGCAAGTGGAGAATGAGCTGAAGTAGAAAATGAGACCAACCAGCAAGCCATTGCAATAATCGGGGTGTGAAGTGATGGACCTACACCTGGGTGATTGCAGTATCAGAGGGGAGAAGGAGGCCTATGCAACAAGGTGATTGTATTGTCAGAGGAAAGGAGGCATATACAAGAGATGTGAAAAAACAAATTTGCCAAGACTTGGCAAGAGATTGGATGTGAGGAGTGATGACACCTTGGTTGAGAGTCTAGGTGACTGGGACGATGGTGGTGGTGCCCTTGAGAGTAATAGGGAAGATACATAGAGGAGAGGGTTTTGAGGAAAAGATGAGTCGAGTTTTGGATATTTTGAGTTTCATGATGTCCATGGGACGTCTAGTATGACATATGTCACGGGCAGTTGGAGTTGCAAGAGTGGAGGTTGGGAGAGAGGTTAGGGCTGGACAAGTATATCTGAGAGTCATCTGCATAGGTAAGACAGTTAAAAGCTGACGAAATCACAAATGAAATGATATAGAGGGGAGAGAAGAGAACCTCGAATAAAACCTTGGGGGCCTCCCACAGTTAGCTGGCCTGAGTGGATAAATATCTGGCAAAGGAGAGCAAGGAGTAGTCAGAAGAGAAGCAGGAAAGAGAAGAAAGTATCTTGGAGAAGAGGGTGGTATGGATCCTTAGAGGCCGTCTAATCCAATCTGTATCTTTACAGATGATGAAACTGAGTCCCAGAGAGGTTGAAACTTGTCCAAGGTCACACAGTACGTGACAGAGCAGGAAATTGAACTCCACTTCTCTGACTGTAAAGCTGTGATAGATTTCCACTCTACCCTGCTGCCTCCCATGATAAAAGTGATGTCACAGAAACTCAAGACTTGGAAAAGAGACTACAAAGTCTAATCTATATGTGAAGCAAGAATTCCCTCCGCAACGTTCAGCCTTTGCAGTCTATGAGTCATCCCTTGACTTCCTCCTCCTTTCAGGTCTATTCGGTTTCCAGGACTCTTCAATTCCATCTCTGTGGTGTGTCACGTGCATCCCATTCCCTATATTGCCACCACCCTAGGTCAGAGCTTCATTACCTCTTATCTGGCCCATGAAATGTCTTTGTTGAGGCTTCTTAAGGTTCTCTCATACCCACTTTTCCTACATAGCTGTCAAAGGAATGTTTCTCAAACATGGGTTTGCCAGAAGCCTCTCCTGTTCAGACACCTCCAGTCACTCCCTCTTGCCTCTAGGATTATACACAAATTTCTCTAGCTTTTAAAGCCCTTCACAGTCTGGCTCCAACCTTCCTTTCCAAGCTTGTTGCACAGGACCTTCTTTTACACTGTGTTCCAACCAAACTGACTTGTTTGTCATTCCCCACATTTGACATTACATCTCCTGTCGTCATGCTTCTTGTATCTGTAGGCTCTCCCTGTCCCTCCCTCCTCATGCTAGCCCACAGAGTGCCTGCCTACCTTCCTTTCTCCGAAGATCACCTCATGGACTACTTCCTGCAGTTTCAGGGGTTATTAACCTGGTGCCCGTGAACTTTAAAAAAAAAAATGCTGCTACTATTTCAATATATTTGGCTTCCTTTTTTTTAATCCTATGTATTCTTTTCATTTAAAAACATTTTTCTCAGAATAGGTCTGTACCCTTTCTCAGGTTAGATTAGACTTGAGGATTTCACTAGACTGCCAAAGGGGACCATGACACAAAAATTGGTTCAGAACTCCACTCTAGTTGTTGTTACCTCCTCCCAAAAATTATGTGTCTCCTTTGTATATATTTTCTATTTATCAACATAGATGTTGTCATGTCACCACCACCATCCCCCCAAACACTATGGTTCTTGAGGGCCAGGACTGTTTGATTTTGGACTTTGTCATCTCATTGTTCAGCACATTGTGGACACAATAAAAATGTTTGTTGAGTTGTGATATTGAGGAACCTAATGGTTCCTGAGTTAGTTGGTTCCATTTTTGAATAGCACTTATTGTTAGGCAACTTTTCTTTCCATTAAGCCTGGATCTGTTTCTGCAGTTGCTCCTAGTTCTGTTCTCTGGAATCAAGTGGAACCATTCGAATCCCTCTTTCACATAATAGTCCTTCAGATACTTAAAGACAGCTGTCTTGTCTACCCAAGGTCGTGCCTGGTCCTAACATCCCCAGTTCTTTCAACTAATCTGGCATCATCCTGAGATCATCTTCCTGTTTTTCTTCTGTGTTACCAACAGAATGTATTGCCAGTTTACCAACGTCCTTCCTGAAAAGTGAGACCCAGGACTGAACATGATATTCCAATGGGATCTGACTAGGGCAGGAAGATTACCTCCTTAGTCCTAGACTGGATACTTCTAGGGTCAAATATAAAAGCCCTTCACAACCTAATTCCAGTGTACATTTAAATCCTAATCACATGACTACCTTTGATATACTCCATATTAAACAATGTGCTTTTTAGTTATTTGCCACATTCTGTTCCCTGTGTCTTTGCACAACCTGTCTCCCATGCCCGGAATGTGCTTCCTCCTCCCTTCATTGTCTTACAACCTCTAGCTCCTTCAAAGCTCGGCTTAAATGCTGCTGATTATGTGTGACCTTTCCTGCCTCCTCTCCAGATCCCATATTACCTTGTGTTTATTTTGTATGTAATTTATGTAAGCTTATTTTGTATGGACTTCTTATATGTTCCCCTGTCTCCCTCAGTAGAGCGTAAGCCCCTTAGCAGGGCCTGTTTTTTTGTTTTTGGTTTTGTTGGGGTTTTTTTGTTGGTTTTTTTTTTTGTCTCTGTATTCTCAATGGCTGTCACAGTATTAATAGCTATTGATTGACTAAAATCACCAGATCTCTTTGTGATGAACTCTTAGTGGCCACACTTCCTCTGTCTTGTGCTTGTGAAGAGCTGTGAAAAGTTATGCATCTATTGCTGTTAAATTTCATCTGATTTGGGGCAGCTGGGTGGCACAGTGAAGAGAGCACCCGGCCTGGAGTCAGGAGGAGCTGAGTTCAAATCCAGCCTCAGACACATAACACTAATTGTGTGACTCTGGGCAAGTCACTTAACCTCAATTGCCTCACCAAGAAAAGAAAATTCATCCTATTCGATTATAGCTTATTGAGATCTCTTTTGGCTCTCCTTCCCAGCTTTGTTCCATCTGCAAATTTGATAAGCATTTCTTTACCCAAATCATTGATAAATGTATTAAGCAGGATAGGACCCAGCACATGTCT